GGGGGGTTTGATAGTGAGGAATAGGACTAATAGGTAGGTTGAGAAGGTGGTATTTATAGGCATTCGATGAAGCCAGACTGGAGTAAGTGTATAGATGAAGACTTGATTGACACTTTGTCAGTAGGTGGATGTCCTTGTTGAATCCCAATAGAACAATTGCTTTGTTCAGGACGCCATCATCCCTTTGACAAGTACAAAGGATAGAGATAGATAATTACTCAGCTCATTATGCTTCCGCTAGCTGAGGCATACAGGTGTATTGTTTGAACTGCAATGCAATACTGAGTTCCGGCGTAAGTCATGACTTTGGGCTGTTAGCCCAACATCCCGAAAAAATGACTTGCCCTACGACAAAGAAGCCCTGTATTCGACAACTAACTCTCAGCAAGAACCACCGCAGATCCTCTGATTGAGTAACGTGCAGTAGTTGCAGTGTTTGATCTTTATGCCACAGATTCGGCAAGCAGAACCGGCCATACCACCTTGGGTCTCAGCAGACCTCGCATTATCGGCAGCGGAAATCCCTTCCGCGCGCGGAATTCTGCCGCCTTATATCACAAATGGATGAATGACTTTCCGACTAGGTAGTGGTCCATTCTGCATGGAAATTCCAACATATCCAAATCCCAAGATCTCCCATAGTACTCTGTCAAGGAGCGATGGTCGGTGGCGTTGTCTCCTTAGTCATCGGGCGGCCCATGACAAATGACCTCTCTGAGTCGATTGGTCATACCTCAACTTCATAGACGTCACCAAGGTGTGCGGTAGGTGTATAAGAGCAGAATACTCACCACAGCAGAAGGGTTTTATCCACTCACATCTTCTATATAATTAGCGCAACTGTCGCTGTCCATTGACCAAGAAAAGCAAAGAAATAACCCGTTTGAGTCCAACCTCTGATCATCATGGCTGCTACCAGGGTAGCTCTTGTCGGAGTCGGTTTCCCTAAACCCAGTTCTTAACCCAATGCCCCCTTGAATTTCTCAGATGTTGCGGAACAGCTAACACCTTACGGTGCTTAGGCTTCTGGCAATCTTGGGCCGGCGATTCTATCCGAGCTACTGACGGGCGGTTTTGATGTCACGGTCCTCACCCGGCAGGACAGTGGCAGGGAGTTTGATTCAAGAGTTCATGTTGCGAAAGTTGACTATTCGTCTCTCGAGGCCCTTCAGGCGGCGTTAGCTGGCAAGGAGGTGGTGGTAAACACTCTAGGAGTTGGCTCTGTTCCCCGGGATGTTCATCTCCGCCTGGTGGATGCCGCAGTAGCCGCGGGAGTCAAGCGTTACATTCCCTCCGAGTTTGGATCTCACACTACCCACCCGGCAACGGCAAGGCTTCCTGTCTTCGCCGACAAGGTTGCGGTGCAGAAACACCTCCGGCAGAAGGCGTCCCATTCCGCGGATTTCACATACACGCTGCTGTTCAACGGCCCCTTCCTCGATTGGGGACTGAAAGTGGGCTTTCTGTTAAATCTCGCTGGTCCTGTGGCTACCCTCTACGATAATGGTGAGAGGAGATTTAGTACGACCACCACGAGCGCGGTGGGCCAGGCCGTGGTGGGGATCATTAAGAACCTTCCCGCGACGGCCAACAAGGAGGTGTTCGTCCATCAAGCTGTGGTCTCCCAGAGGGAGTTGCTGGCTCTCTCCGGCAAGCATCTGGAGACCAAGGCTGTCTCAACATCCGACCTGGAACAAGAGGCGTCGGCGGAGCTGGCTAAACCCAACCCCAACTTTCATGCGGCTGCCGTTGGCTTCTTGCGCCGAGCAATCTTTGGCGAAGGATTTGGAAGCCACTTCAATTCAAGTAATCTTTCCAATGAGACGTTTGGGGTGCGACCGCTGTCGGAGAATGAGCTTCGCGAACTGGTCGCTCAGTGTGCGCGTTAAGCTTTGCCTTTATCCTGCATTCTCCGGGTGCGTGTCTATTAGAATCACGCTGACTAGGCTGCTCGGCTAGGGCGCCGATGATTCATGCCGACAGGCGTCGACTTTTATGCCATAACTCTTTTGCAGGTTGGAAACATGTATTATGGAATCAATCATACGTAGCTTTAGTAACCAGCTGTGAGCTGGCCTTCTAAGGGCCACACGGTAATTATTCAATCATATATACATATTCAGTATTGATTCCTAAATCAGCTAAAATCATGGCAAAGGCATTGACACCTGTTTGATAAGCGAATGTCTTGTTGTGAAAAAGGAAAGATGCTGAACGAACCAACTCGTCACAACTGAAATTCACTGTATAGGGACAAACAAATCTAGGTAACTAGGTAGCGATCAGAGACAGGATCACTAATATCAATCCGGAACCTTGAAATTCAATAATTCTTCAATCGCCATATGATCGGTGGGAAGTCAGATACAGTCCGAGGTACAAAAAGCTTGAAAAAATCAGCCACCAGACTAATCCAGGCAAGGAAAGATATTCGCAAAAAGTTGGGTCGGACGACATGCGGTGGAGCATGACTCGCTTGCTCATTCGCCTCCGACTCTTCCGAAGCACCGGGAGAGTGGATCACCGCGCTTGTTGTTGAATCCCATGTAAAATCCCAACTCAGCCTTGTCATTACATTTGGACGATCTGCATCGAGATTCACGAAGGCAGTCACCAAACCCACACAACTCGATCCTGGTCTGATTGTGGCATTTCTTGTCACTACCATATTATCCCAATCGTTCTGGCAGACATCCTACTCACCTTCTCCTCAAACTTTAACACCCAAGACTCGAACCCACTGAGATGGCCAAAGTGATCATCTTCGGCGCAACCGGCGCGGTCGCCTCAGCCACCGCCCGCGCCGCCCACGCCCGGGGCACCAGTGTCGTCCTCGCCGCCCGCGACCCCGCCAAACCCATTCCAGCCCTAACCCCCAAACAAGAGCACCAGGGCAGCTATCAACGCATCCAGGCCGACCTGAGCGACCCCGAATCCATCCGCCTCGCGGTGACCTCCACGAACGCCACCCGGGCATTCGTCTATACCGTCTTCGACGCTCCAGACCACATGCGCGCCAGCCTGGAGGCCATGAAATCCGCCGGGATCGAGCACGTGGTCTACCTGAGCAGTTTCGCCGTGAAGGGCTTGCCGGGCAGTGTCGGGCCGGAGAACTTCATCGCGTATGCCCACGCGCGGGTGGAAATGTCTCTGGCAGATGTGTTTGGAGCTTCGGGGTATATTGCGGTGCGGCCGAGTTTCTATGCCACTAATGTTCGATGGTGGTTGGCTGCTGCGGCTGAGGGGAGGGTGGGGATGGCGTATCCGGAGGCGAGGTTTGACATGGTGGTCCCGGAGGATATTGGTCGGGTTTGTGGGACGCTTCTTGCGCAAGGGAGCAGTGCCGTACAGGGCGATTATGTGAATCTGCTGGGCCAGGAGGAGCTGGCGCTGGGAGATGCGGTTCGGTTGCTGAGTCGAGAGACCACCGGGCTAGAGGTGGAGGTTGTCACGGTTGGCGAGGAGGAAGAGATAGAGTGCTTCGTTGCAAAGCTTGGGTTCCCCGAGCCTCTGGCGCAGGCTGTCGTACAGCAGAATCGGGAGCAGAGCCTTGGTCTCGGTCGTGGGCTTGTCGATTTCGCGACGGACAGGGATTTTACGCGGAATGTGTATCGCATCACTGGGAGTCAGTCGACGGGGTTCGGAGAATGGGCTCAGCAGGCGTAAGCGCATAGCTGGTGCTTAGTGGGGAGACAGCTAGGCGTTGGCGACAGTAAACGTCAATGGTGTGGAGACAATCTGAGCGATCGGCTCTGCAATCTGTACAGTATTGGCCAACTATTGGTAATCTTCACGGAAGATCTACAGGTAGATAAGTGATAAGACCAGAGGACAATGTAGACATAACCCATTGGGCCTGATTCGAGGTGTATCATGTGAATCCAGCGGATCTCCTCCAAAGACCCCTTCTCCCGCGCATAGACCCGCCGATCAGCCGAAGTAGAAAGTCTAATGGCCGTCCCAACCAATTTTCCATGCGATGGCAAAAGAGTATGATCGGCTAGATCACGGGCATTTTCTGCAGGTCCGCCTGGACCCAGGGATGCTCCCGGTTGAGCGTATATTTCCACAGTATGGGGTCCCTGCAAACACAATCGCCAGATCGTGTCCCGCAATCCCTAGGGTAGTTGTGGAAAGAAGGCAAATGAGCTCATTGGGCCATATCATGATGCTTAATTGTCACAACCTTGTTGTCCAACTCTTTTGAAAAGGGAGAAGTCAGAGAGATGGCAAGTCGAGACTAGGATGCAACGGGGCGGCGCTGCGGGAGCGAAGTCGCTTCACGGCCAAGTCTTGACGGCATGGTGCAGGTTGGGCAGTATAGAGTTGCTTTGTCCTAGGCTTGGGATATTCTTGTGGATGTTGCAGTCCCCGCCTCCTGGATTGTAACAGTATCATGTAGGAGATTTGGGAACTTGGAACAGTAATCCTTAAACTTCAATTGAATACAGCTAACAAAATAGATAATTTTAGAAACTATCACATGAATGATGAGTTGAAAATCCAAACAACTATGAGCAGACCGGTCATGAAGTTGTTATACAAAGCATAGCTTGACTAGCTCGAGCTTCCAGATATCATCCCACAAGGTCGTGATCTGGGGACTATGGAGGTGACTGACATACAGTAGTACAGTGCATGTCGCTCGCTTAAATCTCGGCTGGTCTCCCGCGCAGCTGACATGCCCGTCTTCAAAGCGGAGATGCCCCGCACGGAGATAGGGTTTAAGGAACGATCTCAGTGTCAGCACTCTGACGGAGCTGACTTGGAATTTTGCCTTCACAATTTCGCCTATTGGATGATATTGCCGATGACATTTGACCCAAGCCCCGCAGGAAAGGATCAGGGAATACAAATACGGTAGTATGGCATAGTGTCAGCACCTGTGGGGCCTTAAGTGCGGTTTACGGCCGGGCTTATGCCTGCGTCATCGGGGTCCACGGTATCAAGAGAAATTGAAAACTCTGAGAACAGGGATTATATAAATGTCTTGAGCACCCTCCAACCTCTCTGAAACCGAGAAAACATAGCCTAACTTTACAGCTTCTGCTTTATACTTCTCCTACAATGTCCAAATCCATCATCCTCTCCAATTCCTCAGGAGGCCACAGCACCGCCAAGCCCACCGCCACGTTTACCGGGGATGTTTACCTCGACATGATCCACTTTGACGACAACGCCGCGATTGCCAATGTGACATTTACTCCTTGCGCGCGAACCCATTGGCACACCCACGAGCACGGGCAATTCATCAAGGTCGTGGCCGGATCGGGCTGGATCTGCGACAAAGGCGATGCTCCCCGCCGGATCAAAACGGGCGATCTGATCTGGGCGCCGGCTGGCACCACGCATTGGCATGGCGCCGACGATGGCACCATCTTGACCCATTTGGTTGTGGGCCTGGGAAAGACGGTCTGGCACGACGCAGTCACCGACGACGAGTACTGTGCCAAAGCATAGGCTGTAATTGGCTTCAAAGATCGATATGGCGCATGATAATAGACGGGAACAGATATCAGGAAGAAAAAGGGTAGTCATTGCGGGGAGAAAAGGCAACCGCTATCTTTTTTGTCAAATTCCTTCTACCGTTGTCTCCCTGGAAAGAGCAAAGGTTGAAGACTTTTGCTCTCTGCTTCCTGCAATTCTCTCAAGCTCTCGCCGTATATTTCATGGCAGCTTGTTTTCCTACCTTGCAATGTACACATACTTTCTCTGGTTAGAAAGGAAGATCATTAAGGCTCTGACGTCAACAATACCATATTGGATGAAAAGAAGGTCTCCTATCTTCGAAACTCACGAAAGAAAATTGATGGGAGCTCTCGAACATTGCTAGTGGATTGGTATAGTAAGTTGAAGTACGTTGCGTGTTTGCTCGAGAATGAAAGAGATATAACAGGGTTAGTAATCGAGCGTGACCCGAACTTGCACAGCATACAAAGAGCAAGAGAGACTTGTGAGTACCACAGATAATAATGAAGGGGATCTGCGAGTGTTCGACGCTAAGTCCATGGCATGGAGGGCTTGTCTATCAGAATGCGCTTGCCCAGTATACGGTAGAACATCTTGCACGTGGTGCCAGAAAGACCATGTCTCTGACTAGCAGACCCTGAGCAGGATGATTGACAGAGATCTTGCATGATCGCCGTACTAAAGCGGCATGAAGAGATTTTGAAACCATGATAGAAGATAATTTCGCAGACCCTTCACATTGCTTCGGAAGCCGAGGCCGCTAACTTACACCATCCCTCTTTTCTTTTACAACCACGAGTGCAGATTTTATACTTGGCAACATCTCCTTGTTTGGGCTCTTGGTATGTTGTGTCGTTCATGCGAGCACAAATGACTTGGACGGAGTATAGAAAGCAGCAACACCGCGTGCTTCCACTCCTTGAAAAATTCTACGATCTTAAGTTACTCTACTGGCTTTCTTAGAGAACACGCCATTCGCTTCTCGCTGGATCTTACGTGGTGGCATTCCTTAGACCGTGTTTGTCGGCATGGTCGCCGAAAGTAGTATGTCGTCGGGAACATATCACCGATGCGAAATCCTTGATTTGCCTGAGAACAAGATCTAGACCACGTTAGCCCAATCTAGGTGAAATTTTAGTGAATAAAAAGAAGTCCGCAAGTGCCGAAAGGGTATTAGGCAACAGGGCGTAGTGATAGGGCGCGGTATGGCGCGGTCCGGCGGGCCGCTTAGGCTACCGGTTGAACGCATAAGTTAGTTAAAGTTATATGATGCTTTGTCATCAATGTAGGGAGCCATATTAACCCACGCTGCGCTGGTTGCATGATTTGTCTTGGGAAGAGGTCTCTCGTAGATTGACCCATGGCAGTTGACACGCACTCGAATAGTACGCCGAGGACAGAGAGTCAAGGCGACATGCGATGATTCCGCCCCAAGCATTCCCCCGCGGAGGTGTGAAAACGGGAAGCCATGTCCATGGAATACGAAGAAGTGGAGGGTGGCAGGCACTGCCTAGCGGTGATTCAGTTGTAGCAAGTTGCTCACTGACCAGAACGTCGGAGAATCCTGCCAAGATACTAGGTAATGGGCTGGCGACACGAGAATTGATAGAGGTTGCCAAAGGAAATTTCGGTGACTAATGGCGACTTCACCCACATCACAACCTGTGCCATAGCCGATTAGAATTTTCTATATATCTTGAAACTCGAGAGCCGGCGCCAAAATGTACATCTAAAAGATCTTCATCTTGCATGGTGGTGGCGAGGCATGGAGACAAAAATCCTGCATTGTACGGTACATACATGAGTAGAATAAAAGGTAGGGCTGATGATGAAAGCCTGAGGTATCCACTGACAATGAAGGGTCTCGCCGCCCCGCCAAGCCCTAACTCTACTTGATTAGTTGCAGGACCCCTTTTTAAACAGAATCCCCACTTCGCCAGTCTAGGCAGCCAACATTAATCCTCCCAAAAATTCTGCAGTCTTCTTTTGTCACCATCTTAAGTCGAATTGTCATCACTTCACCCCCTATCACCCCCTATCACCCCCTCAAACTCAAGAAGTATCTATCTCAGAGATGAATTCGATTTCTCCGAATTAATCGGCTGCCATGGGCGGACAATCCACCGTTCTACCGCTCTACCCCGGTTCCTTTCCCCCCACACCTCATGCAATGCGGCCGCCGCAATCCCTCCGCCGGCGGGGCAACTAATGATGATGATGATGATGATGATGATGATGATAATAATAATGATAATGATGCCCAAAACCGGCCTAGCTGGCTGCCACACACATTGCGCAGGCCATACCTACTTACTCTCTCGACTGTCCTGCTGTTGATTGCCATCGCTGTTGAGGTCCTCCGTCAATATTCCACTCGCCACAATGGTGTCGCCCAATACAAACAGAAGGAAGACCTTTCTACCTCCATGTGGCGGGCTTGGGCAGATACGCCCACCATTGTCGGCCTGGTCGCCGTAGTCCTTTGGGAAGTCTTTGCCCACGACCTTCTGCGCTTGGAGCCGTACTTCCAGCTGGCTGATCCTAAGGGTGCCTCCGCCAGTGTTCTCTTTACCAATTACAGCTTCGATCCTGGAATCCTCGCCCCTATTCGTGCCCTTCGAAACCGACATTGGATCGTGCTATGCGTTTCCCTGATGTCTTTGGCAATACACCTCCTCGTGGCCTCGTTGCTCTCGGGTCTTGTTGTCCTGTCATCCTTTGATGTGGTGGAGACCAAGACCCTCGATAGCTGGCCATACCTGGTTGATCTGGAAACTCAGGACAATTGGTTCGCACTCGAAGCTGCTCACAAGCCATCGTCGCAGAGCTCTCGTGACAATGACCCCGGACCGAACAAAACCATGGCCTATGCCGTGGCTCCCGTAACTTTCCCACCGGACTACAGTATGGAATTTTCCACCCTGAGCATAAGTCAGTCCGTGTATTGGTCCGACCTGACGTGCGTCAATGCGACTGTGACTGGGGCAGTACCGAGCACAATGAATGTTTCTTCGGCCGAGGATTCGTTGAGCGACCAGGGTCTGGTGTGGAATCTTTCGAATGTCACGTTGCCAGGCATGTCGACAGCCGCCACCTGTGAGATCGGTATTGCGCTCAACACCTCTGCTCCGCTCGGGGACGGGGGCTTTCAAGCACGCTATTGGGAACCCGTACAGTCCCAACCCGCGCCTGTGTCTCGACCTGCCTTCATTGCGACCGGCTGTCCCTCCACCGGTCTGCTCGGTATAATAATTGACATGGAGAGTATGGCCGGGACACCGTTGGGCTCGAATCTCACCTTGTTTGCGTGCCAGCCACTTTACAGGCAGGCGATCGCTAATGTGTCTTTCACGGACAGGTCGTATCCTACTAGTATCCAACCAATACATTCTAGCATCGGGGATTTGGGTGAAAAGGATTTCAGCGGGCACGGGTTCCAGAGCTTGATGTCCGCGGAGCATACTCGCACAGGCGAATCATGGAACGAAAGAATCAGCATCGTTGGAAATACGGACGCCTTGAATTTGACTCAATATCAGGAAGCTGTCGGCCGTACATGGAACCACAGATTTACAAACGCGATCGATAGACTCTTCGACCAACAGGCGGAGGCAGTGCGAATCGATGCCATCCTGATGACGTACTCAGTGGCCGTGGCGGTGGTCCCTCGCGCGGCTGTCCTTGTCGAAACCATCATGTTTTCAAGCTTTGCCCTAGTCCTTGCTCTGAGTTTCATATACCCACGTCGGCTTAGCCTCCTTGATCGCGATCCCGGCTCTATTGCTGCGCAGTGCGATTTGATTGCCCGCCTGATCGATCCCGACACACTCGGTACTCTGTCCCAACCGATCTACCATGTCTCACGGACCCGACAACTTCGCAAATGGGCCAAGGGGCTCTGGTGTAGGTGGATTCCAGGGTCCAATGGTCGCCGCCTTGAACTGTCTCTGATAGATGGGTCTCCTGCGAAGATGGGACCGCCACCAGCTGCCTCCAAACGCGGAGATCCAATGCCGCACTTCTTAACTCTTCCATGGTTTGTGACGGAATGCGTTCTTCTTATGGGCGCTGTCACCGCAACCGGCCTGACGTTTTCATGGATCCGAGTCCGCGTGTTAAACACAATGAACACCACTGAATATCTGTTCGCGGCGGCTTTCTTAGTCTATGGCCCCACCATGATTGCTTCAGTGGTACGCTCGCTCATCAACTCCCTGCACCGCCATTTGAGCGTCGCAGAACCATGGATCCGATTACGACAAGGGATGATGCCTTCAATGCCGCTATCCGCGCCAGCGTACGGTCCTCTCAAGACCCTCTTTGTGTTGAGGCGATCAGGGCCACGGCCCTCCCTCTCTACGTTCGGTCTGTCATTGGTCTGCGTGCTCAATCTGATTCTTGTCGTTGTTACTGGCGGTCTATTTGAGCCGCAAATCAACACTTACTTCGCATCCTCCAGCGTTACCACCTCATACACCGATTCAACCTTCGCCGGCCCGACTCTTACCTCGGACTTTCACAGTTTCGACCGCAGTATATACCTTCTGACAATGAATCACTCGCGCCTGTCGTGGACTACAAGGGATCTCTCATTCCAGCCGTTTGAAATGGATATAGACGAGGGTGCCGTCGGTGTGGTATTCAATGCCATGATTCGTGGAATCGGCACCACTCTGTCGTGCGACGAATTGCCGTTCAACTATGCAACTATCGACAACTACACTACGACGGTAAATTGGGCTTACCCTCTTTCACCAGATACTCAGACCACTCAATGCAACGTCCATCTTCCTCTCGTTTCTCCCGACCCCACGCGACCAACAATCCAGTATGCGTGGCCCAACAACTCCGACTGCCAGAGAAGCGGGTTCTTCGTCTCCGCCACCAGCCTACCCACCGACAACCATACATCGACAGCGCTGCACTGCACCCCTCAGCTTCACACCCGATTCTTCGAGGTCCAAGTCGACCCCAGTGGCCATATTCTGCAACACGCCGCTGTCCCTCATACAGCTCCGCTCACCACCGGGCCCTTTTACGCCAACCTCACCACCGCTCTGGGCCTCTTCAACCAGAATCTCGGCTCCTTTGTCCACAATATCTCAACCCAGCCGCTCCCGTACTACCTCTCCTCATTCCCCAACCACCAGACCACCCAACTATCCCAGACCATCCAGCAGACAGACCCCACCAACACCACCCAAGCCCTCACCACCGCGATTCAAACTCTTTACCAATCCACCTTCGCAACCTACCTCACCCTGAACCGCGACCTCCTCTTCCCCCGCGGCCCGATGGTGCAAATCCCGGGCGTGATCAAATACACCTTTTGGGGCTTCATGCCCTCGAGCACCACCATCGTCATCACCATCGTGATCTTATCGATCGACGTCCTCGCGCTGGTGACCGTGTTCGCGTGCTACTTCGGGCGGTACGATGCGCCTCGGATCCCGAAGGCGATTGGCTCGTTGATTCCCTGGGTAGGCGGGCCGGAGGGGGCGAAGCGGTTAGCAAATATGGGGGGAAACGGTGATGATGAGGAGGGCCGGCGGTACCGTTTCTGGTCTCAAACGGATTCGGATGGGCAGTTGAGGTGGATTCTGGGGGAGGTGGGTCGCGAGGCAGAGGGGGAGGAGGATGGGGTGGAGTTGGGGAGTGTTGGGAGGAGGGATTCCGGGGGTCCAGGGATGCGTACGGACTCTTCTGGCGTCGAAGCATGATGTCTCTTATAAGATTATAATTGTAAATAGATTGATGCGGCAGAAGTCCTTCCCGTCAAAGCATGAGCTTGCTTTTTTTTTCCTCCCCCATGCTTTCTACGTGAAATTCCTGGTTTTCTTAGTACCATGCCAATTTTGAGCTTCGCATTGATCCTGGCAGTGTCCTTGGGGCTCCGTGAAATTGGGGAAACTATACTAGATATGTGATTGCGCCTCGGGGAGATGCTTGGCTGAGTGATGGTAAACCGGAGTTGCTAGATTCGCATGCCCGATAAGGAGTAGAAAGTAAAAAGTCCTTCACCTGGTGGGCAAAATCCGCTCTGGACTCCAGGGACCTATCTTGATTTGGATGGATCTCCGTGGCTTACTGTTCGTGAAGCAGGTGAATCATGCAAACTATGACTAGCGACATTGTCTACCCAGAAACCCCGGTCCCTTCAGCAACCAATTGGTCGGCTCTCGGCAGACCTGGTTATCGGCCGAAGTCCTGAGGCCGGAGAACCACCGTGACTCCCTGAGATGGCCGAACACCAAGCTAATCCAATCACAGGGGCACAAAGTCATAAAATCAATTTACAATAAATCGGTGTCCACGTCTCCTGTCGTGGAGGGCTGGGAATCAGGCTATTGATAGGTCACATCTGAGCCATTAGTTGAATAGGGCCAGCATCAGTAAGGTCAAGGAATAGAAGGAGAAGCATTCTATGATGACTGCTTTCGATCTGGAACTCGTCCAAAAGACAGGGAAATGCGGGTCCATATCTCCGTGGGCCAGTGGGATAGCGACCTACAGAGTGGCTTTGATTGCGCACTCGACTAGACCTTCGACACCAGAGGTCGTACGTTGAACTGCGCATGCCTAATTGTGCAGTTATTGAAAGCCGACCAAGTCTCGCACATTACTAGGCCCAGGTCGAATTTCACTGTACGCCTTCCGAATCAGGTAAGCATGGAGTCTCGCTGGTTTTGTACACAAGATAAGGCAACAATCTCAGTAGTAAGAACTTTCGTAGCGGAGAAAAGTTGAACAACGACACCGGTGTTGCAAGATCATACTACAAAAACAGTATCGAGCTCTATATATAAGATGTTCCAGACATCTAGCTTGGCCCTATACTGGGTTCCACAATATGAATAAGAATTTTCAAAACTGGTACCATTGGAAGTAACCGGAGAAGTGCATACACAGAACCCAGAAGCAGAGATGCAAGCCCCAATAGAATCTAGATTTTAATGTGGAACTAGCATATCTGCCAGGTGGTAGAGTACTATCCTTGCTGTATTAGGGACTGGGCAAGTTAGGCACTAGGTCGGACTGCGCAATCTTCTTAATTGGAAGCGCTTAACCTCTTCGATAGGGCCGGGTAGGGCCCGCGCAGAGCAAGACCTCTGTTAGCATCAACTAGTACAGGAAGTACAGTAGCTCATGTTCCTACTCAATTGGTATCAGCATTTCTGTCGCTCACCATAGAAACACTTGGATTAAGAATCAATTGCTTGGGCAAGTGAGCCCAGATGTAAACCCATATCAAAGTCTAGGAAGAGCGATCCGAGAAGAAGCAGAAGCAAGATCAAGCGCGGACGTTTACACTCGGTACGTAGCCTTGGGGAAGTAAAGCTAGTAAAAGCTTCTAAGTGAGGGTTAAGTTAATATCTAGAGCCTGTTTCGCTGTTGCCTTAATGTGGGTCGAGATTGACACGGATCCACCGGCTTTCTCGAGAAACAACGAACTTCGACAACGCGAGCTACCAGCAACTCAGCAAAAGATCGAACTGCAGCCGTTGCACTTCTCCTTTGTCCGACCCACCGCGGCGCTTGCCGTTTTCTTCCTATCGCTCTACCCTGGTTACTAGGTAGTCATTCTGTAAGGTATAACTCGTAAGTTAACCAGCACTTGGGTTCCGGATGAATCATCAGGCGCTGGCCATACAAATGGAGTCGCTTTTTGGTTGGGATACATCATTCAAGATCTATAGCAGCAGGAGAGCAAGAAAAGGAAGAACTGCAAAAGGAAGTTGGCCTAACAAATTGCACTATAAATACAAGCATCTTCCGCCACTCTGGACTATGAGTCACATCTCAGCATACCTCCTCAAGCTTCCCTTCCCAAGTACATCCCTCGTTTCCTTAAGCCTCTTCTGTCAGGAAAAGAGTATGCAGTGGACGTGGTATTGCTTGATTCTCGGTGACCTCTTTGCTCTCCTCGTCCGCTTCCACACCGGAGAATGGTCTCCCCAAGCACGGTACTTTCTCGTGTGCTCGCACTTGGCCTTGTGGGCTCGAGTCTTGCAAACAACACTACTGTGACCTCCTATATCGAATCCTCTGACAGCGGCCCCGGGATGAACCTGACGGTCTCGATGGATGTGGTGAATGCCGACTACGCTTATCTCTACGACAATACAACCACCATTGAGGACCTTACCAAGCGCACCGGAATCACCACCACGGTCGCTGCGTACACAGTGGCCAAGGTCACTTCCGAAGTCATCATCACCGCCGCTTCCGCGATCACGATCTACGAGTTCATCGCCGGGGTGATCAAATCCAAGTCTGATGCCAACTCCTGCACCATCACCTACGGCACCGACTCGGATGGCAGCCACACCGAGGGTTATGCCTACAAAGCCTCCACCACCGGCAGCAACTGCGACACGACTGCGGAGCTAAAAACGATTCGTTCTGCGATGGAAAAGTGTGCCACCACTCTCACTACCATGGGCGCCGTGCGCGGCTGCTGTACAATGACCCATGGAGGCACTTGGGAGGGCCATCTCCGCTTGTCCGGGGATCCGACCAGTTATCCTGTGACGACTGTGACATGTTAGATGGAAAATTGGGATCAGAAGATGAAAACTATGAGACAAAATGAAGAGCTGCAGCAGTGAGGGGGAAAAACATCAGGAAAATAGGGGAAAGGAAAAGAACAGCAGTAGCATCAGATATTCAGTCTCCTTCTCTTTTTCATTTTTCTCCTTGAATGTCAGTATACGCTTCCGAGATGGAAAGTAGATCTCACTAAGCTCACCAACCAGGGTCCCACCCGGAATAAGATTCTATTTACGGAGACTTGAATATTGGGACTTGGCTACGGACAGTTTCCGAAGACCTAACTTAACACTTACTAGATTCATCCCCACTGTTGTAGAGGTTTTGATTCGGCTAGTCTTTTTAACCTTGCGCCTGTGCTTTATATCCGCTTCTGCGATCAGATGAGGTTTGGTCTTCGGATGTAGTGGGGCCTGCGCGATCACGGCCGGTGTTCAACCCGGGATCGTGACCCCGCCCATTTGCGGTATGGTTGAGTCAAAGATGTCCGACAGGATCTCTCTTTGACGAGTGGCATTGAAGCAAGGGTCAGAATCGTAAAGAAGGAGAGACGGCGCCGTTCCGAGAATGAGCCTATCGGTACTGTCCTAGCCCTGTTGGGTAATTAAGACCGGCGACATACTGTATTGTATATACATTAGGGATACATGATAAGTTACCATTAACTTAACTAGTTAACTTAGTAACACTGAGTGACATAACTTAGCTAGCATGGTTTGTCAGCTGATTGCGCCCCCTCTCCTCTCCAACTTACCTATGCTTCACTAAGCAGGCGGTGTGATCCACCTACGACTACGTACCATCCCCTTTCTCATATTACTGTACTCACCTTATAGCATCCGATTCAGTTTCAACTTCCAGCAAGTTTTAGATTACTTTGTAACTTGTAACTCAATGACTCAACCTCCGTCCGGCGCGCCATCTGACAGCGGGAGTCGGAATCCAAGGCCATCCCGAAGGCACGCCTGTGACCGGTGTCGCAGTCAGAAGCTCCGCTGTGATCGGACAACCCACCGGCAGGATACATCAATCGCCTGCGATCGCTGCGCTCGAAACCATTTTGCTTGTGTTACCAGTGCTCCCATGCCTATGGGTCGCCCACGCTCCTTGAACCCCAAGCCTCGTTACCGTCGCAGAACCAGCAAGACGTCCGGAGACTTGGGATCCAAGGACACCGGGACTGACTCTTCAACCCCACCATCCTGCTCCACTGTCCAGCCATCACCCAACCTCACCATGGCCGGAATGAAAATGGACGCGATCAATAATCTACCAGAATTGGTCTTCAATCAGGAAGATCTGGGCTACGGCCTTGGTTTTCCGAACGGGGATGTATTCGACCCTACTGCTTTCGCCGATCTGGACATGAGTTCGCAGCCCGCAGCAGTCGGCCCCACCGAGTCCGCAGCCGCCAACCCTCAGGAGCAGAAAGTCGAGTGCTTGTGGAAGCTTCACAGCACACTACTAGATCACGTATATCGGATCGAAAGTCAGGCGATAAACCAGATCGACCCCTCCAAAAATGAATCTTTGCCTGACACGCACCCTTTTGGACCGCAATTCTCCGACATCGCGAATACACAGAGTGACCATCCGATGCACCAGATGATGTGCTGTTCACAGACGTTCCTAGAGATCGTTCAATCCTTTGTCTCCTCTTATCGCCAGTCGGTCTGCAGCATCCCACCCCCGGAGTGCGCTGTCACCGACTGCTCACGCGATTCGGATGATGAATACCTTAGGTATCCTGGCAATCCTGGCCCAGCTTCTTTTCTAAACCCGAATACCTCATTCTCGTCCACTGTGCCTCCCTTCGACAAATCTCCAGCAATTTCCCCATCCACTGAATTACGAGGAGACCAAAGGAAAATAGCAGCAAAAACCACCCTGATAAGACACCTCGAAGACCGCGACCAGCCCTTCCTCTCGCCTGCCAGACCCAGTTTCCCATCTGTCTAACCATTGCAACTTGCCACGTGCTGCTTCTCCGTCTGCACCGCAGCGTTCTCACTGATCTATATTCTGCCGTACAGTCCTTGGTAGCGCGATACAGTCCCGCAGGAAACCTGACCGGCCCGCTTGCCGTCCTGGACAATTTCGCAGGTTCTGTGCCCTTGTCCGATGTGCACCTGAACGGGTCGACCTTGAAATTAGACGGAGTACAGCAGGTAACAACCGTCTTGCAGCTGAGCTGCGATTTACTCGAACGCATCGACCGCGGCGTGGAGATCCTATTGATAGGTGCAGGGCATATTCTGTCCGCTCCCGGGACGTATATGTCGGTTCTGGATGCTCTGGTGCAGCAGGAGGCCCGCAGTGGGCGCGGACCTACCTTTCCCGACGGATCGGGGTCTACCGGGGGCCGCGCCGCTCGACTGGCACCGTCACGCTTGCTTGTCCAGCAAATACGCAAGTGTATCCAGGATACTTGTCTGTGAGAATGATGCGGAGGAGGAGATAACTTCTTGGGGCTGCAGTGGATTGTTTTTAAGAACCCTACACTTTTCCATTCCAATGGCAGAGAGCATACCTTCCGTGTCTCCTCCATACCGTACAATTTCCGGAGCTGTTGCGCCTCAAGTCATTTTATGGACATTCCAGATATGCGGTAAAACCGGACGCACCATTCAAATTGGTACAGCACGTTGTGTGGTTTCCAACGAGCGTCAAATTGCGTACGGTGATGTTGAATGCCTAAGGCACCGAGTTCGGGTACATTTTGCAAGCAACAAGACTTTCGGACTCGGAACCCTATAGCTCTGCGAAATGTCTCCGAACAGCTCAAACAGACCGCGGAGATGGATTTCTCACAAAGCTTCGTCTTTAGCACTTTTCTTGACTCACAGAAATTCCGGAAATATCATCACTACACGCTCCTACTTGCAATTCACTCCGCAACGACATGGAACCGAAGAACAGTCCTCCCGAGTCGGTCGATGCACCACTGGCCGAGGTCTTGGACGATGCGCCGAAGCTGACCTTCAACCATGATATTCGATTTTGGTTGGTCTTTATTGCATTGTGTGTGACTTCTCTGCTGGCTGCTCTCGAAGGGACTGTCACCTCTACTGCCCTTCCTACCATTGTCGCTGACCTCCAGATTGGCGACAATTACCCTTGGGTATCCAATGCCTACTTTTTGACCACGTATGTCACGATATCTATTTTGCACAAAGATGCCTGTTTGTCGTTGACTCTAATTTGTTCTACCTTACATAGAGCAGCTTTCCAACCGCTATACGGACAACTCGCCAATGTCTTCTGTCGCCGCTACCCCATGATCTTCTCCGTTGTCCTCTTCATCCTCGGCAGTGGTATCTGCGGAGGTGCCTCGAGCGCGGCCATGCTGATCGCTGGTCGAGCGGTTCAAGGCGTTGGCGGAGGCGGGATCAACATGCTCATCGATCTCATCATCTGCGACCTGGTCCCCCTCACGCAGCGGGGCGCATACATTGGGCTGCTGTTTGTCGTCTTTGCAATAGGCACCTCACTGGGCCCATTCATTGGCGGTGCTATTGTCGGCAACACCACCTGGCGATGGGTCTTCTACCTCAATCTACCTATTGGAGGGTTAGGTCTAGGTCTACTCATCCTCTTCCTGCAAGTCAACTACAACCGCGAGATGTCCATTGGGGCGAAGCTGAAGCGCTTGGACTACCTCGGGAACCTGCTGCTCGTCGGTGCAATTGTGTCCATTCTGATTGCGCTCAGTTGGGGCGGCTCGCGTTATTATTGGTCCTCAGGCCACGTCCTTGCGCCGCTAATTATCGGCCTCTTGGGTATTCCGGCGTTCGTCCTGTATCAAGCGACTCCGTTTGTGGAAGAACCGACGACCCCGCTGCGACTGTTCAGCAACCGTACTTCGATCATCGCATTCTTCAATACCTTCATGCACGGCCTTCTCAGCTTCTGGATCCTGTACATGCTTCCGGTCTACTTTCAAGCAGTATTACAGTCATCCCCAGAACGCTCTGGCGTCCAGCTCCTCCCAACCGTGATCTCGATGATCCCCGTCGCTGGCGTGTCAGGCGCGATTCTCTCGAAGACAAGAAACTACAAATTGCTCCACATCGTCGGCTTCGCTCTTCTCACCATCGGGCTCGGCACCTTCACCGTGCTCGGCCCCCAGTCCTCCACCGCAGCGTGGACGTTGACGCAGATGATCGCTGCATTTGGCGCCGGAACGATATTGCCCGTGCTTCTGCCGGCAGTCCAGGCCGGGCTCGAGGAAAAAGAGACGGCGACTTCCACGGCCCTGTGGGCTTTTGTCCGCAGCTTCGGCATCATCTGGGGCCTATCCGTGCCCGCTGCCATCTTCAACAATCAATTCGACCAGTATGCCTCGTCGATCAGCGATAGCTCGGTACGAAACATGCTGAGCGGGGGCAATGCGTACTCGTACGCCTCGAGCGCGACCATCAGTGCACTCCCCGCCACAGTGCGGGCAGAGACCATCGATGTGTACTCCCGCAGTCTGCGCGTGGTGTGGCAGGTCTCCATCGGGTTCTCCGGGCTGTCCTTTCTGCTCTGCTTCTTCGAGAAGAATATCAAGTTGCGGTCGCATTTGGAGACGGAGTACGGGTTGAAGGAGAAGGACGCGAGAAATGGCTCGAATGGAACCGAACTGGCGGTCTGAGCTGCTTGTGAAGGTGATCCGGTCGTTCACGGGAAATCTGGGAGTCAATCTTGGGAGGTCTCTTCGTGCTCATATGTTGATATATTACTGGTGTCTCTGAGGAGAGGCCACAAAGCTCCAACGCGTGGCTAGCGGGGTAGGAACCAATGGAAAATGGCAAATTTGGATATAGCTCATACAATGTTCCTGAATTGAAGTGTCTAGCTGGAAAGCATGAGCATTCGGATCTTCGAGCGGGCAAAATGTCTCCGGGACAGGGGTTGCATCCGCGCGCATGGCACGAATGTCCGCGAGCCGCCCCGGAATCGTTTCGTGACCGCCGCACTCAGGCCATTTCATGTGGTTGTTCGACTCACACCCGCCGCTCTGGCTAATCCAACCCTTCTGTCTTCGCGGTCCTAGTACACAAGAGTAACCTGCAAGATGATTGGTGTTTCAATCTCTACACAGATAGTAGTTGTGGTTCTCCAAGCAAGCAATGTATCAATACGTAAATATACCCCGAATTATGATCGGGTACGGGTATGACCTTACCACGCATTGGCTTACGGAGTAGCCCACCGTATTGGTGCAGCATGTGATATACTGTAAGTTACCACCGGGTGTCGTTTTTACCCGTGGCACATC